AGCACCAGCCAAACAATATGATGGGAATCTGCCAAAATGCAACAAGTGCAACTTCCATCACAAAGGATCCTGCTGAGAGATGCACTACAACAATTGCAACAAGAAGGGGCATACCGCCCGTGTCTGTAGGGCGCCAGCACAACAGACCGCCCAAGCCACTAATGCTGGGGTGATCCAGGTGTGTTATGGATGTGCTGAGACGGGGCATTTCAAGAGGGAGTGCCCGAAGGCAAAGAACAAAAATGTCGGGGGGTGTGCGAGGGGTTTTGGCAATAGGGCATGAGTAAGCAATGAAATAGCCCACTATGTTTACCGGTACGTTTCTCTTCAATAACTCATATGCATTCATACTTCTCGATAGTGGTGCGGAGAGGAGCACAGTCAACACCTACGACAGGTCTTAGAGACGCTAAGGGTGGAGAAATTGTATGCAAAGTTTTCGAAGTGTGAATTTTGGATTCGAAAGGTGGACTTTTTGGGGGGCACGTGGTCGGCGAAGAAGGGATACATGTGGATCCCTCCAAAATCAAGGCAATTGAAAATTGGGCAGCACCGAGGACACGGACTGAAATTCGCCAGTTTTTGGGTCCCGCTGGCTACTACCTAAGATTCATACAAAATTTTTTCAAAACTGCAAAGCCACTTACTAGCCTAACCCAGAAAGGAGTGACCTTCAGCTGGGAGGATAAACAAGAAACTGCCTTCCAGACACTAAAGTAAGCTTTATGCAGTGCTCCGATCTTGTCACTTCAAGAAGGGACGAAAGACTTTGTAGTCTATTGCGACGCATCCAAACAGGGTTTAGGTTGTATACTCATGCAACGGGGAAAGGTCATTGCCTATGCCTCGAGACAACTCAAGACTCACGAGGTCAATTACACCACACACGACCTAGAATTAGGATCAGTAGTATTTGCCCTAAAAATCTGGAGACACTACCTTTACGGTACAAAGTGCACAATCTTCACTGACCATAAGAGTCTCCAGCACATTCTCAATAAAAAAGAACTCAATATGAGACAACGAAGATGGGTAGACCTGCTAAATGATTACGCATGCGAAATTCGCTATCATCCCGACAAGGCCAACGTAGTAGCAGATGCTCTAAGTCGAAAGGAGTACTCGGTTCGCCGAGTAAAATCATTAACAATGACTATCCATTCACATCTGACCACCCACATCAAGGAGGTGCAATTTGAAGCCTTGAAACCTGAGAATGTTGCAAGTGAAGCCTTGCAGGGAATGGATAAAAACCTTGAGGTCAAGGATGACGGAGCTCGTTACCTCATTCACCGAATCTGGACACCGAGATTCGGCGGGTACAGAGACATTATCATGAACAAGAACCACAAGACCAATTACTATGTTCTTCCCGGGTCTGACAAGATGTATCTAGACCTCAAGAAACTTTATTGGTGGCCAAACATGAAGGCGGATATCGTTACTTATGTGGGCAAGTGTTTGACTTGCGCCAAGGTCAAAATAGAATACCAAAAGCCCTCGGGTTTACTACAATAGCCAGATATACCCGAGTGGAAGTGGGAGCGGATAACCATGGACTTCATAACTAAACTGGCCAAGACAACTGGTGGGCATGACACCATTTGGGTAGTCGTCAATAGGTTAACCAAATCCGCGCACTTCTTGCCAATAAAAGAGACAGACAAAATGGAGAAACTAACAAGGATGTACATCAAGGAGATTGTATGACTATATGGTGTGCCAATATCCATTATCTTTGATAGAGATAGCAGGTTCACCTCACGATTTTGGCAATCACTACAAAAGTCCTTGGGGACCAGGCTTGACATGAGTACAACCTATCACCCACAAACCGACAGGCAAAATGAGAGAACAATTCAAACATTGGAAGATATTTTGAGAGCTTGTGTGGTAGACTTCGTTAAAGCTTGGGATACCTATTTACCACATATCGAGTTCTCATACAACAACAGTTATCACTCGAGCTTTAAAGTTGCTCCATTTGAAGCCCTCTATGGGCGCAAGTGCAGATCACCTCTGTGTTGGGCTGAGGTGGGTGACACGCAGCTAACAATAGGACAAGTGCCTAATAGCACACTCACCGGCCCTGAGATCATACGGGAAACGACAGAGAAGATCGTTCAGATCCGTGAACGACTAAAGGCATCTCAGGACCGAAAAAAGAGTTATACGGATAAAAGACGCAAACCCTTGGAACTTCAGGTTGGTGATCGTGTGTTCTTGAAGGTATCACCTTGGAAGGGAATGATACGTTTTGGAAAACATGGAAAACTAAATCCAAGATACATAGGGTCATTCGAGATTCTTGCCAGGATCGGCCCGGTAGCGTACAGACTTCGGCTACCACAGGAACTCAGCAACATGCATCCCACCTTTCATGTGTCCAACTTAAAGAAGTGCCTATTTGATGAGACCCTCGTCATTCCACTTGATGAGACAAGGTAAACGAGAGTCTCCACTTCATCGAGGAACTTGTGGAAATCATGGACAGGAGGTCAAAAGAATAAAGCAAAGTCGCATACCAATAGTAAATGTCCGTTGGAATGCCAAGCGAGGACCTGAATTTACTTAGGAACGAGAGGACCAGATGAAACAGAAATACCCACATCTTTTCCCCAACTCTTGATAACCTACTCGGAATGCTAATTTCGAGACGAAATTCCTTCTAACGTGGGGATGATGTGACAACCGTCAATTTTTGGTCAAACAAAGTTAATAAAAGTCAACCAGGTCAACTCGAATCGTGTTAGAATTTTAGGAAAAATGTGATATTCTCTAATGTTTATAATGTACCATTAACAAGTTATAATACAAAGTACCACTCTGGTTTCCAATTATCGAATATAAACCCTAAATAAGGTTAGTATCGTAACAATTCGGTAATTCAATTTTATATTATTTAGGTATAATTAATATTCATAACTCTATGTAGTGGAGTTCATAAATCTTATACTACATGGCAAATTCATAACAAAGGCCACAAACACAAATTTTTTGTGAAGTCGTCACCAAATGCGACAAAGTCTATACCCAGCTAAACACCCTAATTTTTTTTAAAGGTAAGAACTTTGGAATCCAACCTAACTTTCATGTAACACATTATTATTTTTAATAATAATGATTTTTATAATAATTTGAGTTTTTATAATTCAAATTAAATATTTATACATCCTTTATACCATATTTTTATTTATAAAAAATCATCATTTTTATAAAAGATGCCAAGTGCTATATAAGTTTGACTTTTTTTTTTATAAAAATCACTAGTTACAATGATGTTCCCCACCAGAATCTCAGTAAGAGAGCATGATACTTGTGTATAGATCTATACGGGACTGACAATCTCACACCTAAGCTATTAGCTACAGCTAGACCGGCAAGTCTGGGGTGACAATTATCTAACATTCTGAAGCCTGAAGAACGTCGCAACAGGCCAACTACGGTTTTAGCATGATTGTAATAACTCACATAGGGTATTAACAATACATTTGGTTTACGAGGCTAACATACATTCAAATGGTTTTGTATAATAATAAAACTACATGATACTATTTTCAAGTACAGCAATACTTACATTTTTGGTCTTAGGGTTTTAAGACTACAGCTCATTTTTAAGAAAATATTGGATTTTCTGGAAACATACAGTATCATTTTACAAGGAAAAGTTACAGATTTTCTTGCATACAAAACTCTTATGAACTCGCCAACTTAATTGTTGACACTTTTTCAAAACTACTTGTATTCTCAGGGAATCGTTAAGCAAGGTAATTACAAGGTTGTGAGGATGGACGTTACAACGTCACACTATTCATTTTGTCGTAATGTAATTGGAATTGAAACATACAACATTTGGGTACAATGTAATTTTCCGAATTTTAATTATGATGGTTGTGTTGCTTTGATCACTATTATTCATTATGTTATGATACTGTTCGTGAAGTCATCCACCCTCATACGTTTCTGCCATTCTGGTTTGGGGGTGTGACAAAAACCAACCATTTATATGAACACAACATAATGAAAATGAGCTCAAATCCTAGATCTATTAAGAATGAACCATAAAGGTGAGAACTTGGAGACATACAAAAGTCTAAAAGATGCATCAAGAGATGGAAATGAGTTTGCTAGCTGATCCTTTGCTCAACAAAGCATTTCTTCTACCTTTAAATGACTAAAACACCAACAAAAGCTCAAAAGACAAGAGGAGAGGCTAGGGTTCGATAGAGTATCTTTTGGAGGTGATGGAGACTGAGGGTGGTCAAAACCCTAGCCCTTGTATTCCTTATATAGGGTCCAAAGCCTGAAACTTAGGGTTTTATGTACACAGTGGTGGCATGCCAAGGCAAACAAAACACCACGTCAGGGCACTATTTAACCAACACGCCTTGGTAAACAATGATCCACATTGTGGTCAGGACTAAACACTCCCGCATATTCACTCAATAAACATAAGAATAAAGTACCTGAGGTACGGATGTTACATGTGGTGAACGAAAAAAATGTTTCGTTTATATATATATATATATATATATATATATATATATATATATTAGGTGCATGTCCGTGCGTTGTGCATGAGTAAAAGTTGGTTATCATAGATGAAATTGAAAACTTTAGATCTAATCTGAATATACAAAATTATTTTTAGATCGTTCATCACCATACATATCATATATTAATAGTTATCATATATTAATAATAAAGTTTACAATCACAAAATCGAGCACAATAACAAAATAATATTTTTGAAATAAGTTATATGAATATACTAATAATAAATCCATGATTAGGTTCCAAGTATGCCACTTTTAAAATAATATACATGGATACGATTTTGAAAATGAAAAGTAACTAAAAACCACATAAATGGTATATGATTCTAAATAAGTAATAAAATAAATCTTCAAATAAGTATAACTAGGGAAGGATCTCCCGTTGCGAGAGTTAGAATTAAAAATTAGAAAGTCTTCCCAGAAATACATAATAGTTTACAAATTCGGAATATTTTTTTTGTTTGGTGCATTACTAATAATGCAATTGTGAGGGATAGAAAGTTTTATAAAGAAATTATGACATCAACCTTCTTGAAGATCTCCAAGTGGTAGCACATAATCTTGTGCCTGCATTTTTGAAAATACCTCGTTAAAGCGAAAAATAGGTATATACTTCCATTTAGCCAAATCATGGACTTACAAAAAAAATAAAAAATTGCATTTTGCCCAAACATGGGCTTTATAAAAGCAAAATGCCCATTGTGGACATTTTTGCCCTTTTGTCCCATAAGGTACGCTCAATGATCCGATCCAAATGATTTTACTTAATTTCTTTGTTTAGCAACCTCTCTCTGCAAACCTGACTCCAAGTGTTTCTAAATGACAAACCATAAAACTTCCCATCAGAACATGTCTGTTTATAGCAAAGTTACTTACAATATGGATTTCTTCTAAACAGTCTTACTTTCATCTTTAACATCCCGATTTGCACTAAATTTACAACTCATTGCTGTTTCCTATCCAAAACAAAAGCCAAAAAAGAAAAAAAAAGAAAAAAAAATTGTCAATTCATAATTGAGCGCAATACACAATCAGAATTGACTCTCATCTCTCTGTTGACTCTGATGACAGCCCCACACAAATTGCAAAAAACAACAAAATTCACATTCAATTGTTCATCTTCATCCAATATTGCTATCATGAGTTAGTCAGCAGCTGAACGTTCCAGGATTTTGGGAATTGAATGATAATATGATGAATATAATTGTCCTGCTCTATCAAATGCATCTTCAAGCCACACACTATGCTGCATGGCGATGGAAAGTATATAAATATGATAAATTTTACAAAAAAAAAAGTAGTAATTTGAATAAAATATATGTACCTCAAGTACCATATGGAGCAACTGGAATGCAGCACGCATCCCATTGTCTCTTGTGGTGAATCAGAACTCAATAGAAAGAAATTCTTCTGTGGACTCCAATGAACAGTTGATCAAATGATTCGTACAGATATGATACGTAATTTTGTAGATGTGATGAGTCAAACCCCTTTACAAACACACACTCAAAATTAATATTTTAACTTGTTAACAATATCCAAGCAAGAAGATGGCACAAAGAAACAATACAAACAGACCAAAAAATACAACTACCAGCTACAAAACATAAACTTGCACCTAAATAGAAAAAAAAAAAACAATTATAGCCACAAACTTTAGGAGGGGACTTTTTCAAGAGGTTTAACTTGATTCGGGATGTTTTTAGTTTTAGTTTATGCATATGATGCCCCAAAGTTCCTCTTTGATTCCAACCCAGCATAAAAAAATGATGTTGATATGTCAAACAAAAGAACAACAAAATATGTGGGTGTGTAACTGTAATTACAGCAAATCTCCCAATAGATACTTAACAGAAACTTCTCATAATGGCCTAAAGTAAGAAAAAAAAATAACTGTGAAAAAAAAATATGATAAATTTTGACAAATGAACTTTGTAATTGCCACCTGCAACATTGAAAATGAATTAGTAATTTAGAATAAAAAAAAGCCAACAAACATATGAACCATGAGTCTTGTTGAAATGTCGTAGTAACATGTTGTGAGCAATATCTTGGGAGAGCAGACATGGCTTGCTTAAAGTAACATCAACGAATACAATAACAGTAGAAGAGCATTTAGTGGAGAAAACTTTCGTTACCCACCTGAAGAAGATGGTGAATTGGGCGAACCATTGAGATTTTTTGAATTGTCTCCACCTTTAACATCTTCTTTGTTGTACGAATCACCAAAATCTGCTATAAAAATCAGTAAAAACAACGAACTTAAGTCAACTTGGATATAAACAAGCCTGACATTAAATTATCATTATTTCAAGCTTAGATTTTCATGATCTTTGATGAATCTAAATTTGAATTTCCAAACAAAATTGGGGCGGGAGCTAAAACTGTAGGTATCCATTCCAATAAATCACTCACTCCTCCAATCCAATGACTCACACAAGTTAAGAGCAGAACAATAAGTAATTAATTAATCTTCTTCGCAATCTCAACAACTAAACTTGTACGCTACCTATATACATAATCAACAATAGAAGGTGAAATAAACAAACAGTTAGAAGGAGCATATGGCACAATTACCAGGCGATTCCACATAAACAACTGATATAAAACTACAAATACAAAATTTCCAGTTTTAATTCCAATCCTATGCAAATAGCAAGAAAGTTACGACTGCCAATTCTGAGGGACCCTCGCTACCCATGATTTCGTCAAGATATAATAACTTAAGCAAGCCTTAAAAATGGAAAACCCTGATGAAATAAGAAGAAAGGAATCAATCAAAATAGATAAGATAAACCCTTTTGATTCAAATTTCTGATAATCAGGTGCCTAAACTAACGAAAATTAAACCGAGTTATCTCCATCTATTATGAAAATTTACCTTCTGAGTACTTTTTTTACCTCTGGATAGTACTCAAGACCATAAAAGCATCTTCAAATGTTTTTTTTGTTGATGATGCTTATTGATTACCGGATAATACTGGAGACCATAAGGAGTAATTTAACATCCCAACCCAAAGTTAATTTACCTCTGGATAGTACTGGAGACCATAAAAGCTTGAAAGCAAGAGATAAATATAATCTTTCCATGCTTCTCTTGATGACCTTCTAATCTTCACAGCCACCATTTTTCCATCAGGAAACATCCCTTTATATACACGATGACAACCACATTTCCCAATCAAATTCTCTGTAATTAAAAAGACGACTTTTAATCACTTTTGCTAACTTTCTTGAAAATCTACACTGAAAATCAAGAAACTCAGTAAAATTACCTGACGCAAAGTTAGATGTTGAGGAGATTCCGACCTAGAATCTGACGCCATGCTTTTAGGGCTAATTTCACTATCCAACGACGTTGTTCTTGGAGTCCCCGGTTTCGAACTGTTCGGCAGGTTCATCGCCCACTTCACCACCGACATCTTTCTGGTCTCCATTGCCGACAGCGTTAACACGGTGTTTGCTCGGAGAAAAGGCCATCCGGATCTTTGATGGGAAAATCGACAGTGTTGTTTAGGTCGAACCGTTAATCGGGGAGAATACATTGAAATCGAGAATTCGACCCTTTTCAACGCTTTTGTGTTGTTGGAACAACTCGATCCCTAAATAGAAGGCGGGGCTAGGGAGAATACGATAAGGGGAAGCAGTGCCATAACGTATCCTGTTGTTCACCTCGTAATTGATATATAGCCATTGATAGATTGATAGAGGGTACACAGGTAATGATTAAAGGTGAGTGATCTGGGCAACTCCAATTTAGCGATTTTGGTGTCTCTGTCGACGTTCTTATGAAGAAGGTGAGCAGTGGGGAAGGCAAGAAGTAGATATAAACCCTTGCAATCAACAAACGTTTATCAATTTAGAACCACCGGGGAAGAAATTATACGACTTCTTGATTTAGGGCTTTTGGAAGTCGATGGAGAACGGGAGCCGGTGGGTTTTTGGGAAAATGGGAATCGGTGGATGATAGAATGAAAAGTGGAAGAATGGTGGAAGCAGCTAATGTAATTACCACACACAGACATTGACCTGATGGAAGGTAGAAGAAGGTTTGAGGAGGGTTAGCGGTGGATCGGTGGAGTTCTGATTATAAGTTGAATTACCTGGAGCCAAACGAATGTGCGGTTGAAACGGTGAATGGAGAAGAGCCCACCAAGGTATCATAGCTCAAGGTGAATAGAACCAAATTAGTCCACCAAGGTATCATATAATAGGACATCTACTCCCCTATAGGGAAGGTACCACCCAATACATTCCTCAATTGACACTTCTGAGGTATCATGGTCTAGAAAATGTTCATTATTTCTTTACTTTCTTTCCATTTTACTTTCTTTTTAGCTTTTAATTTCCACGATATCTCATATCATCATTTATAATAGAATAGGTTAATAGTAGGATATAGTTTGAAAAGTCACATTTCATATATCAAACATTAGTTTTTCCAAAACATTCTTTGCTTTCAAAAACATTATTGCTTTCAAGTCATTCTTTCAAAACATCATTTACGAAAGCATTTGATGCTTTAATTTCAAAACATTTCATATATCAAATCATTGGTGTTTCATTATCATAAAATCATTTTTCCATGTACCCCAAAATCGGAAAATGCCAACACTTACTCACCTTAATCACAAGAAGGCTAGCTAGTCCTCTTCTAGTTCTTTTCCTTAGAGCAACACTCTTCGAACACTACTTATACAATATACAGACATAACTAATTAAAGTTACAAAATTCCCCTCATAGGTTCCATTACTAAATTTTATTACTTCAAACTATTCCTCATGTAAAACTATGAATGTAGGCGAAAACCATGCATAAATCTAAGTCCATAGGAAAAAGTTATAAAGAAATGAGTGGCAGTCTCTCAAAAAGAAACATGGCCCGTGTGATGGTTTTCCTTGCCAAAACATGACCATGTTTTGGGTTCTTGACACACACAATGCAATTTTTCTCAAAATAACACTCTACTTTGCATAACTCTTGAAGACCCTTTTTCCATTCGCTTTGCACCACTTGTATGGGCTCTCACACATGATCATGATGCATTTTCTCATCCTAAAACACCTCATTCAATTCATTAAGTTCTCACTGAAACCATTTAAGAAAATAGGTTCTCAAATTCCATAATAAGGGTTAAGCAACCAAATGTTAAATTGAAACCATTTCCCAAATTGGCCTTTTAGGCCAAAACAATAACTAGAGTTAGAACCTTACTAGCATCCATTCATGTTTGTGTTCCAATATCATTTCTAGAGTGTCCATTCATGTTCATGAATGCCATTCACTTATTAGATGTCAACCATTATGTAGTTACCCGTAGATTTCCCAAAATGCCCTTATGCCCAATTATTTCATAAATTCAACTATAGATCACTCAAGCCTTCATTGTCTTGCATTCAAGTCATATTTTTAGTATCAAATCATGTTTATGAGTATCATATGTTCATCAAATGCTCATATACAAAGGATTCCACTATTTTCATTCCAATTCTCTCTCTCTCTCTCCCCCCCCCCCCCCCCCCCCAAAAAAAAAATACAAATTCATGCTTATACTTGATTCTAACATCATGGATGAATTTGAGCATTCTAATTGGATTTTTTGCTATCAAAATATCAAATAGGTCACATAATCCAAACCCATTTCATCATCAATTTCAATGTCCCCAATTTGGCTTTTCTAGGGTTCATAACGGTTTTCACCCAAATCCTCAAAACCAACATTGGGATGATTGGATTGAGATTGAGATCATCAAAATTAACAAAAGTAGGTTAGAAACCCAAACTCTAACCATAAGAAGTAGCTAATTTAGACATTAGGGTTTTCCCTAAACCTTGAATTTTAATTTTAGAGATGGAAGAGGATAGATTATACCTAGCAAGCTTTTGATTCCTCTTTCCTTTGCTAGAATGCTTAAATCTTGACTTGAATCAATTATTGGATGCAAAAAAGAAGATAAATGTAACACCCAAAAAATCATAGTAAAAAATTTCATTTTCAACACTATTTAATAATCCATAAATCATACAAAACATTGTTTCCAAAAATATAGTCATCAATCAGAGTATCCCAAAATCATTTGTCAATAAAATATCCAAGGATGATGTGCAGAATCATGCCTTCGCCTTGCCCCGATCATCTGATGTATCTGAAACCATGAAATCAATATGTAAGCCTAGGTTAGTGAGTTCCTCCAAAATACCCCCCACATAAAAATACATATACAAACATGCATGTTGGTCCACAGTCTCCCGACTGGATTAGTCCCTAGCCTATAGTCTCCTGACTGGATTTCCCTTGGCTAATATTCTCCCGACTTGATTGCCCTTGGCCTACAGTCTCTCGACTGGATTGCCCCTGGTTTGTTGGCCTACAACATAAAGCAGTACAACCTTAACCACCCACACTATGTCGACATATGCAACAGATAAACGTATAACCAGCAAATATAGGTAATCATATATATCTATCAATCTAACATATCACTACAACATAGCATCTTCATATATACCAAGATACATATCACAACGTCGTGGGTTGACGTTGGTGCCTTCGACCCACGAGTACAATGAAGAAAACTCACCTTAAAACCGAAAAGATAGTTGAACTGATCACTGTTCCAAATATCGGGTATGCAGGTCACTTATACAACAAATGGGGACCAAGCCTCAATCTACTATACAAGTTACACCATTTGACCTAAAGTTAAACTTGGTCAAAGTCAACCATCAGCTTCCAGTTGACCTACGCCATGCGTACAAGATGCTCTACCCCCGCGTAGAGCATAAGGCAATAAAACGGGCAGAAAGGAGGCTACACGCTGCGTAGCCTGATTTATGCCATACGTAGGGCGCTGATGCCCAATCCTTCCATTAAGTGCTTAATATAGAAACACACCATGTCCAACTCTCAGATCTGGACCTAAAAAATGTCCTAAATGATAAAGTTCCAATCTTTATGAAATTGCATGGCTTACAAGGACTCAAGGGCAAACCCTAATCTCATTACAACTTCTAAATGCCAAAAACTTATGCATGGATGGTTGGAAATAGCCAAGATCTCATTTTTATGACTTAATATCATCAAATACATCTACTCAAATGGACCAAAGTAACGGGACAAAAAAGGGCATAAACTTTTGCAGCCTAGCTAGATTTAACAAAGGAAGCATAAAGGTACAACTTTATACCTTCTGGAGATGAATGGAAGCCAAAAGTGTTGGATTAGTGTCTAAGCCTGTAACCATATTTGGTAAGTACTTGACCCGATTGTGCATGGTCCTTTTGGGTTGCCTTCACCAAAGCAACTTGACTGGAGAAATAATAGAGAAAGAGGTTATTATGATTTATTAATATGTTATAAGAATAATATATTAAAGGAGAAATCATATTTGTTTAATTAATATCGGTCAATAATTAATTAAGAATTAATTTTGTGATCAAGTGTAATTAATTAAACTAGAGGGGCTGAATTGTAATTATGTGATAGTTACAAAATATGGTAATGGTTATCCTAAATATGGGTTGAACGAATTCAAGGAGATAAGGATCCTTGAAATCGTCCAAAGGATAAAGGATAAGGGATTTCAAGTCTTATCTTATTGTTACTTGGTGGGCAAGCAACTAGATAAGGATAAGGACTGAAACCTTAATCTCTACACCTATATAAAGACCCCTAAGGCTCATGAATTCGTCCATGCCTTCACAAGGGGTCCTAGGGACGAAATTCTATACCTCTTCCCTCTCTCTATTACCTCTCCATTTGCTCTTGGTGTTTGTGAGCCATTAGAGGCACTACACTTGTGGTGCTTGCTTTCAAAGACAAGAAGATTCAAGATTTAAGTTGTTATTACAATATAACAACAAGAGGTATGTAATCTAACCTTTTTGGTTAATTTCGAAAATAGTAAGCATCATTAGGGTTTTATTATGTGTTCATAATGTTGTATAACTAATAGTGATAACATAGATCCAACTCTAGGGTTGCATGCACACATAGGATTGTTTGTACAAAACCCATCAGTGGTATCAGAGCCTTTGGTTAACTTGTTTTCAATTAGTATTATTCAATTGTATGAACTTGACATATTAGGGTTTATTGCCAATAAACCCTAGGAGGCTAGGATTTTCGAGATTAGGGTTTGCAAACCCTAATTTGCAAAAGTTTGAATAAGATTTTCAAACCCTTTCCTTAAACCTTTAAATTTCGAAATCTAGGGTTTGTCTTAATCCCTTGATTTTCGAAATTGGCCTCCTCCCCAAGATAAGATCCTAAATTTTAGGGATTTGGATTATCCTATATCTTGTAATTATCCTTTAATGGTTATATATGGTAATTAAAGATTTTGAATTATCCTATCCCATGAATTTCGAATTTTAGAGGGATTAAAAGGATTAGGATAAATTAATTGTTTAATTGGTAATTATCCTTCATGATTTAGATAATCCCTTATGATTTAATAATTTAAATAATAGTTTAATTCAAGATAATTATTAAATCAAGAGTTTTAATATTTAAAATTTTAATTTAAATAGTATTAAATTTCGAAAATTTTAAAGTGAAATTAAAACCTAATTGTTTTGAAAAGTTTCAAACTTGCCCTCAAGTTTTGGAATTTAAATTGTTTGATTAAAAGGTTTAATTTTGAAAAAGTCTAAATTCTAAAACCCTAATTTTGAAAAGTTCATATTACACCCTTATGGTTTTATTAAATTAGTTAAGTGTATAACTAAAAGAGAGTTAATAAATCCATAATGATATGGTTTATATTTAATTAAATTAAAAGTGTAATTTATAAAATTAAACCACCTAGTATTTTAAAAGTGTAAAATACACCCTTACACTATATATATAACATTGAAAGTCTAATATTATATATGTATAACTAAAAAGCTAGTCTTACCGTTAGTAGGCCTCATTCACAAAGCCGATCTATAAGGGGGGTATAAGGTTATGGCCTATAAAATGGCCGTTTAATGGGTGTCCACTCTCACCCACCGCTTCCTTGATTGGTGGAGGGTCGTTAGCCGAACGGGTAGGATAGGGCAAACCCTTTCCATTAAAAGTATAATGAAGTATAAAGTAACTAAATGTTTTTACAAAATTCCCAATCTTAGTTACTTTAGGCAAAAGTGAATTGATGCAATCCCATGAAATTACACTTTGTGCCCTTGCGAAGACGTTAGTGGAGCGCGTGTGGTTAACCGGCACACTAAATGGTTCTAAGCAAAGGTAGCAAAGGATGACTCATTGTTT